ATGGCATGTAAAAACTTTAAACAAACAAACAAACAAACCTGGCGGTGAAGGGCTAAGTCTGGAGCCAGGCAGGCTGCAGCTAAAAGGCTAAGTCTAGTATTCAAATAGATCACAGTAGGAAGAGGCTCTCCCATGGCTAAGAGCACAGAACATGTACTTTGCTCAGGGCTGAACACGTTGGTTGGCAAGGAAGAGCTGCATGTGTTCTTGAGAGATGCTAGGGTTTGTTCAAATTTTAGTGCCAGGGGTCACACTGAGACTTTTGAGACACTGTTGCTCTCAAAACATAACTACCATGGCAGGATCATTTGTAAGGACACGCACTTGGTAGGCATGTCATGAGTGGACCTGGCTGGAGCTGGGGGTCAGACTAGATGGCCCGGGAAGCCCCTTCTGACTCACGCTGTTTCTCTATTTCTATGTTTCTAAGTACATGGCAGAGTTGAATTCAAGTTTCATGCACAAAACACTTTTTCAATCTAAATATAGATGGCATTGGAGGAGAGCACTTTGGTTTAGAGCAAGTCAGTCTTCCAGTAAAAAATGGTCTTTAGTTAAGATCTTAAGAATTAAAATAAAAATTAGGAGGGCAAGGATGCTTTGGGCATATTGATTCCTATGAGAACCCTGTTGGAAATCCCAGGTGTACATACCGGTGATGCCATGTTTGCAATTTTGCATGGGAAGCTCCTCTGTGTGAGAAACCAACAACACAAGCTGGGGCATCTTATCCAGAGGTTTATTGACATCAGAAGTGGCAAAAACAAACAAACAAATGAGTTGAGGAACATTTTAGTATCCATTGGGCCAAAGCAGGGGTTAAATTAAGTGTCTTGCTGCCATGTTGTCTTTTCCTAAAATGGATCTCAAAAACTACCCAGCCCTCTATACTAGGCTCCCAACTGGGCTTGACTTGAGAGGGAAATGTTAAAAGACCAATGTTTCTTGTCTGCTTTGGCCCTCTGTCACTTATCTTAAAGTAGCCATTCTTGAATAATGGAACTTCAAAACTAGATTGAAAGATGAACAGCTGAATCAAAGAATTCTGTGGCTTCAACGGGGACAAAGGTTCTTTAAAATCATGCTACATGTGTTAATCATCTCAGAAATACAAGGATGTCTTTGTTACCACCCAACTGTTTTGCGAGTGGCCACTGTTCATAAGTCAATTATCACTGATGGTGCTTTGTGCATTTCATTTCACATTGACCTCATTGTTTACAATTCTGCTTCCCCCACCCCATGTTTAGATAGATAGACGGAAGTGTAACCCAGCATAACACCGTGTATTTGATGAAGTAGACTGCAATCCACAGAAACTTAATGCCATAACAAATTTGTTAGTCATTAAGGTACCACAGGATTGTTGTTTTTGGTTTGCACTGAGACACTATTTTTATATGTTCCTAAGAATGAAAGTGAGAGCTGTCCATGGACATAAATGGAAAAATCCAGGATTTTAAAGTAGCTATATTTGAACTGGGGAAACAGTAAGCGGGGCAAAACTCAAGAAAAACAAGCAGTGGAATGGTAAAAGGAGGAAGATGGTGAAAGTCAAGAGCAAAGGCAGAGGGGGAGAACAAGGCTGGAATGATGGCTGAGGAAATGAAGAAATGGGAGGAGAAGAGGACAATGAGGGGTCTGTAGCTCTCCTGAAGAAATAAGAACCCCAGCCTATCAAGAAGGGATCCCAGATTGGAAGGGAAGCTCTTTGGGGCCACACCTATGTAGAGGGAGAACTACCCCCCATGATCCTGAGTCAACCACACCCTCGGCTGCAAGCTCCAGTGGCAAGCCTACCAAGGATACACTACATGTTGTCACGAAGCCCCATTTGGAAGCATCTAGGTGGCCATTACCTAATGAGAATACCGTGATGCTGGGAATGATTGATGGCAAAAGGAGAAGGGGACAGCAGAGGATGAGGTGGCTAGATGGAGTCACTGGGGCAGTGGGTGTGGGCTTGGGTGGGCTCCGAAGGATGGTGGAGGACAGGAGAGCCTGGAGGAATGTTGTCTATGGGGTCGCGATGGGTTGGGAATGACTTTGCGACTAACAACAACAACAAGGTGGCCATTACTGGAAATAATATTGGACTAGACAGATCTTGGAAAGCAGGTATGAGTGGATGTAAGTTCAGTACATGCTAACTCTGCAGCCAAATCAGAATACCTGGGGCTCCACAGTTGCCAATCTAGACATAAGAGTGCTGCAGCAGAGTCTTGTGGGTGTGACATCTACACATCCTTTCACAAAACTAGCTGCTAACCAGAGGTAGATATACATATACTAAACATTGGTAGAAAGGCAAACATGTACCAAAGATAAAACCACAACACTGTTTGGTGCCATGCTTTTTATTATTTAGATGGAAGGGAAGGAACTACACTGTACTAGGTAAATAGCTATATGACCATATCTTACAGCACAGCTTCTGCCGGATGGAGGGGAAGATAGGGTAGCGATGCTCCACAAAAGTGGACAAGTAAGCACACAATACACTGTACATTTTTCAACGGACGGTGCCCATTAAATTATAAATAAACAGAATTTGGCTTTAAACAGCCAAAGAATTAAAAACACATAACAACAGTCATCCAAATATGGTTTCAGTAGCCCCCATGACTGTCAGAATTTGAATACCTGGCCTGGAAATTAGGATGTTTGGCAAATTATGTCATAAAAACAATAAAAACAACACCCCTCTGTTGAAAGCACCACTGCTTTCTGATCCTCTCACTGATAAACACTGGACTTCTTTGTAAAAGGCTTTTCTTTTCCTAAACAAGATACCAAATGAGGATATACTGTTGTTAGAAAATTTGCAAGCTTAAAAATAAAAAAAAATCTGTCCTTATTGTCTTAGTATGTTGAAAAATTTTAATCCCAAGACTCTCGGCCTTTAATTGCATTATTCACATTCTACCTTTAGGCATTGCACAGATGTCTTTTCTAAACTGTGGACAAATTCATAATACATTCAACAATTTAAAATGACACCCTCTGTTGTCACATTTTTGCAACAGGTGTGCGTGAATCAGTAGGTGATGCATATCTTTAAATTACATTTTTCTTTAAAGAATAGTTCAGTTAAAAAAAACAACCTTCCATGCTATTTCCCCATTTTTCTATTCCATTCATAACCAAGCAGCTCTTTGCCCAACCACAGAGGTAATTGAGCTAGTTTAACTTAGTTGTACGTTTACATGGGTGTGCAATAAATTTTCCCTATGCCATTAGTTGGAGGATAAGCCTAGAAGGTAGAATGTATAAACCTTCTATCTCCTATTTTTAAAATATATATATAATATACACAATATGTTTACATTTGAAATAGAAGATGGGTGAGACATCCTGATTCTTATGCATGCAAACAGGAGGAATCAACTAACCACAAATAGGTCTGAGCCACATACCTATTAAAACAGGAGGGGAATTCTTTTGTACAGTTTTAGCAAATATACATAAATATAAGAACATAAGTTACAGTAAAATATTGACTGCATTTCTGAGAAAATGTTGATAAACAACCCAGATGCATTGATGCCTAAGGCCTTTTAATAATTAAAAAGTACTGGTCTTTAAATTATTTAAGGACTTCTCGTTCCTGTACAACTTCTATATAAAGGACACAAGCAGACTGTAGTGAAATACCACTGCTCCAAATCAAGCAGTTGGATGTCAGAAGTGTACGGAATCTTAAGTTCTCCTTGCAGGACACATGATAAAGTACATACTACAGATAGGCAGCTCAACACTGTCTTTAAGTTCTAACACTTCTCACAACACTGAAACAGATCGGGCTTAGCAGTAATTCAAGTCTTTTCCTGAGAATGAGGTTCCAACTGGCTCCCCTCCTACCCCTAACTAAGTCTCCTGGTGTACAGACATCCTTCCCCCACCCCCACCCCCCAAAAAAAGCTATCAGAAACAACTGGAGGTTTCAAGTGTGATTCTGTTCAACCTGCTGGAACAGTGCTTATTGAATTGAGTAGGCAGCTTACGAAACAAAGCAATCATTTCCAAACATAAATTATTTTCTTGAGTAATTGGATGTGCAGCCCTTTGTAAATACTGAAAAGATGCCCTAGTGATTATTTTGACTGTTCCATTGCGATAAGCTTGTGGAACCTTGCCTTTCTTCACTTAAATGTGCTCAAGTTATGTTCAGAACATTACTTTCATCTCTTCTGTATCCTGGAATAAAATTTGCTTTGGTCCATATACTGGGTAGCAAGATCCCAGTGACACATCAAAATAGTTTTTATATGAGTGGACATATGTAGATAAACTTCATTTTGTGTTTCTTAAAGGGACTCACACCAAAGTCTAGTTTTAATACAATAATACTGTTTTGTTCGGGATTTTGAAATGGAAGCAATGCATGGATCCTGATTTCAGGAACCACCTTATAGGTCTGCATGAGCTGGCATGTGTTTCATTGATGTGAATTGAATCAACAATTAACTTAAGAAAACACACACAAGTTCACAACAATGAACTTGTGTGTGTTTTCTTATGCCCAACAGCACTCCAGTGTTAAATCCTGGGATGCTATTTAAAGAGCTGTTTGGGCAGAAAAAATAATTGCCCTCTGAAATATCCAAACGCACTACTGCATACAAAGAGCTCACTTCATCCTTGCCTGGATCAGGGCCATGGTGGATTCTGGAATTCAGTGATATACCATTACAACAGTGACATATAGAATACACTTCTTTGCAGAATAAATTGTGACAGACATTTCCTTGTCAGAGTTTAAGACCTACAAGCCACATTTAATCCTGTGTATTCTCCACCAGGAACTTTTCCTGTGCAAAACCCTTTGAAATGAATGCAAGCAAAAAGGGGAACAGAAAGCTGCATTTCATTTTCAAAAGGCCACGTCTCCTTTTGTTACCAGAAGGATACTAAAAATGTGGCAAGTCAAGACAGAACATTTCCCCATCAAAGTTATAAAGAGCAAAAGCAAATTCCCAAACAAGCATAACACCTCAAAGTATAAGGCAATAAATGTAAATTGTCTTTAATTTCAGTCACTACAGATTTGCAAACATTCAATAATTCAGTGTTTTAAAATGGAGAGGAAATGAACCCTATAATCTGTGTGTAAGCACATACCCATCTCCACTGGTGACTCAGTCTTCCATGAGTACATGAATGCCTAATCACTAAGTGCCAGTTTTCTCTAAGACTTCAATACTGTGTGTACATTCCAGTTGTGCATGACGACAAAGCTTGTTCTTCAAATCTGAGTTTAAAGAAGTCTTGTTGGCAAATAAGAACCTATTTTCTAATAGGCAGCAAATAAGAAGTGCAGCAAAGGAGCTTCCTCACATGTTACTATGCCTTTGCAGGCAAGAGTTTTTTTGGCGTTACTGGTCTTTTGCTCTGCCACAGATGACTGTGAATGGTAATCGCGTCGACACTGGCAGAGAGCGTTTTAGCAGGGATGTGGCTGAACTGCTTCCTGTCAGAGTTGTACTTATAGAGTCCCTCAATCATTTTCTTGCTGATGGACTTGGGTCCTATCCCAGTCAACTTACTGATTTCTTCAGTTTCAGGGCAGTATGTATACAAAGATCGGAATTGACAGCCTGAGTCCCGGAAGAGGATTAGGAAGTTGTTGGCGTCCGATTTCTCCATTTCCTTTGGGGTGGGGGAGAAAAGGAAAGAGAGTTCAAATCACATGAAAGTTAAAAATCACATTCTTGAACAGGTATAACACAGCATGATCCTGGAAATGTAATCAAACTATGAGTGGATTCGTATGTTCATAGTCATCTCTTGATCTCTGAAGCATCAAGGGTTTTCTTGCATGAATGAAGGGGCCAATACAGATTTAACAATACAGAAACAACTTCCATCTTCCCTCAAATGTGATCTTTGATGGCATTAAGTCACATCTTCAGAGGCCTTGACTGCTGAATAATCATTGATAGAGAAAGTGATGTATATGCCTGTACACTGCATGTCCCATAAAGTGCTATAGGAAAATTAAGAACTAGGTGGTATTAAAATTATTATTGTTATATTATATTATTATATTACATTTATACCACACCATTCTTCCTCCTGCAAAGAACCTAGGGTGGCTTACAAAATTCTCCTCCTCCCCATTTTTACAACAGCATGGCAATGAGGTAGGTAGTGTCTGTGACTGGCCCATAATCACTTAGTGAGATTCATGGTGAACAGGGACCAAAATCCAGGTCTCCAGAGTCCCAGTTCTACACTCTATACTTGATGTGCCAATGTATAAACTTCAGCTCATATCTCTTGAAAAATCTATATAATCAGAACATTATTGCAATGTATTACTAGAAAACTAGATAGTGCATGTGTTCTTGACCCTAGAACAATACGGTATTCAGAAGACTGTTTCACTCAGCAGATGACTCCAGAATGAAAGAGAGGAGTTGGAAATTCAGTGCTACACCAGGAATTTGCACAAATTCCTAATGTCTACAGGATCTTAGAGAAATATACCTTTAACAGAAAAAGTAAAGAAGGCTCTATTCTTTTTTCCATTGAAATCTATTTTGTATATTTTACTGGTGAAGACAGACAACTTTTTTACGGCAGCATGTCCAGTCTGAACGTTCATTCAATGAACAAAATCCAAACATAACCCTTTGTGTTTTTGGTAGAGGTTAGAAAATAATATTTTTCTGAGTTTCCAATGTTTTCTGTTTGAACCAGGGGGAAAAACAGCCATGGAGGGTGTCTGCTAGCCGGTGCATATGATGTTACTAATTTCCCTTTCCTTTCCAATCTGGGCACATGACTTAGTTACATCTTGTTTGGATCACTGCCTCGGAAGACTGTAACTCCAGAATATTACAGCAGACTGTTGATTGTGCCAGTGATGGGGACCACATGGCTGCTAGGTTAAGGCTCCAGCTATCCATCTGTTTCCAAGCACCATTTAAAATGCCAGTTATGACCCAAAAAGCTCACAACGGTCATAAAGCACATCTCTCCCCTTTTCTCTTTCTAGCAGAGCAAGACAAAAAATGCAGAACTTTATTGAGTCAGGCTGGCTTTGCAGTACAGATTGACTAATATAAGCATTGCTTTATATCCCTCTATTTTGTGGAGTTAACTATTGCACATATCAGAAATGCATCCCAATCCCTCCTCATCTTCCTGCTCACATTCAAAATCTGAGTTTTCTATGGAAAGCTGTATTTTGGGATAAGGTGGCCGAGTCCCTACAGGGACCAGGATATCTGAAGGATCACCTTCTCTCCTATGAGCCTGTATGGATGCTGAGATCTTTCTGAAAGTTTCTTCTCTCCCAGAAGGGCTGACCTGACTTTCATGAGAACTCACCAAGGGCTTTCTCGGTGGCTGCTCCTTACCAAGGAAACTCATCTAGCCCCCTTAGGCCCCTTATCTAGTCAATCTATTTCTATTTTTAAATGGAAATCTGACTACTGAGCTAATTTGTTTTTGCCTGCAGTTAGTTTTTGCTTTTAAAAAATCTGTTCTTATCCAATTCTTTTACAGCTTTTTGTGATATTTATTGTGGCATTGCTTATTGCTTATGCATTGCATTTTATTGCTAACTAGCTCAGATATTTTGTAACAGAAAGGTGAGATTTAAACATAACGAAGAAAAGTACTTTTGCAACAGTATTAAAAGTTTTTGTATATGCGCATGTGTGTTTTGTCTTGCAAAGTAAAGGATGTATGCACTAATGAATAAATGACCTATGCACTAAATACCCCATCTAAATGTGGAGGCGAGCATCACAGCTGGTATGCTGATACAATGTATTTGTGTACTGGAATGTATGTACAGTGGTGCCTCATACTTCGAACTTAATTTCAGGAGACTGTTTGAGAACTTTGAATCGTTTGAAGTCCGAATC